CGGCCTTCATGGGAAAAAGGAGGGCGGTCAGAGGTGGGGAAGGCAGGCTTTCAGACCATGGAAGAGGGAACCGCAGCACGGCCAGTGAGGGAACTTGGAAGTCTAGGCAGCAGCAGGGGACCTCGATGGTCCCCAGAGAGGGAAGGTGCAGAGGGCTGATGGGCTGACACAGCACTCTGGCCCAGATGCGGAGGCCCTGTCGGAGGGAGCATCACTCCAGGAGACTGGCAACCCCACCACCCTCAGCATCAGCCTTCCTCCAGGGGGCACTGGCACCTCCCTGAGAGACCAGGGCGAAGTGTAGCTCCTCACTCCTGAGGGACAGGTATGCCCCTCCCCCTCAGGGGCCTTCTTGGTGAGAAGGGGGGAGAGGGACAAGACCTGAAGAACTGAGATATACAGAAGCGATGATGTAACCAGCTGGGTACTAAGCTGGACTGTGAGTGGACTATATTCCCACTGTAAGGGACATGGTGAACTGTCAAGGGCCAGGTTCTCACACCCTCCAGGAGGGACAAGTGAGGAAGGTCAGTTCAGCTACAGGAAATAAGAAACAACTTTCTTAGCATCTATAATTCTTTAAAAACAATATGCTAATTAGACTGGACGACCTTCTGGAAGAAGCCTTCTGGAAGAAGCCTTCCGGAAGAAGCCGGGGCTGCGAGGGCCGGGGCAGCTGCAGCAGCGGGCGGAGGCGGAGGCAGAGGCTGGCAGCTGCCGGGGCGGCGGGGCCGAGCCCCTTGCACAAATTTCATGCATTGGGCCTCTAATATTTGACTAAGTGCAAAATCTGTGAACCCATTCTCTGACTTATGAGGCGAGCTAATCTATTGTGAAGCTATCTAACTAGTTGAAGGCAAAATTAAGAATGATAAAAGTTGTAACTTCACAAAAGACTACATTTAAAAAGCAGTGAGCCCCTGGCCAGTTTGTTCAGTGGTTAGAGTGCCGGCCTGTGGACCAAAGGATCCTGTCAAGGCCATGTACCTCGGCTGCAAGTTCCCCAGCCCCGGTAGGGGCACGTACAGGAGACAACCAATCAATGTCTCTCTGTCTGTCTTTCTCCTCTCTCCCTTCTGCTCTCTCTAGAAATCAATGGAAAAATATCCTGGGGTGAGGATTAAAAAAAAAGTAGTCAGATGAGGGAGATCCAACAATCTTCTCAATTAATTCATTTATTAATCAAACATTTAGTGAATATCACATAAGGACAGATACTCTGATAAGCACTGGACTGGGTTTCTGCCACAGCTAGTGACACAGCTCAGAGGGTCTCCCAGCAGCTGTCACTAGAGAACTCCAGTCCGGGCACAGGTACAAGGTTAACCTATGCCTTCAACCGACAGGTCTGCAACACCTGGGCCCCTTCCACACTCAGAACCACAACACACCCAGAGCAATTTCTGACTGAAAAGGGAACACTCAACAGTGAACCAAAGGCAGGTGCAAACCAGGAAGACACAGATGGTCTAAACCAGGGGTGGGCAAACTTTTTGACTCGAGGGCCACCATGGGTTCTTAAACTGGACCGGAGGGCCGGAACAAAAGCATGGATGGAGTGCTTGTGTGAACTAATATAAATTCAAAGTAAACATCATTACATAAAAGGGTACGGTCTTTTTTTTTTTTTTTTAGTTTTATTCATTTCAAACTGGCCGGATCCGGCCCGCGGGCCTTAGTTTGCCCACGGCTGGTCTAAACTAAACCCTGATTGGATGGCAAGGGAGATACAGCAAGGAATTAGAAAATTCAGAATCAATATCCAGAAACTGAAGCTCTCTTTACTCATAGGGTTCTTATAGGATGTTATAAGGCTACATTCTCTGATTCACTACTAGGAATCATCATCTTATTCCAATCAAGTAATGATAAAAAATTAAGGAGGTTCTTCCCATTTATCAGTTAAGATATGTATACTACCATAGTCTATTATAGAAAAACACACACATAAAACCATTTGATTTTTATTACTAATTGGTTATCATCATCTTATAGAACTGACGCTTTCATTATATCAACATTAAACACATTTGGGATTTTTACAGTAACAAAGAAGACTGTATCCCATCTGATCAAAATGGTACCAAAGGGGTACTTGGCTCTTCAAGCATCAGACCTGCACTATCACCACCACCAAGCATGAGGATCTGACCCAGCCCCTGGCTGCTCGCCCTTCTATGACAGATGGTACCCACAGAGAGACTCAGGCAAAATCTGGCAAGAACAAGGAAGCAGCAAAGCACTAGAGAACCAGTGACCCCACACAGCCGCGCTCGGGCGTGTCTTCCTTGTCCTCCTCCGCAGTGCTCTTTGGGTGCCTCCCTACAGGCAGGTTCCCACCACCTGCCACTTCTCACTTCCCATCGGGCATGAGGGCAGGTCCCCTGGGGAAGGCCTCCTTCAAATTACAGTGCTGCCCCTAAACTGGACTAGCTGCCCCAAATCTTCACAATTTAGCTAGCAGGTAGACAACCAAGCTACATTGCATTGCTTTCACTCAATCTCTATTTCATAAAGAAAAAAACACGCTATGGATGCTAGATACTTCTTGCTATCTACAAAAGTGACTTTAAGTCACACGACAGACTTAGCTCTAAAGAACTCTTTTCCTTGGTTAGCAATGAGACAGTAAAGCAGACTTCGCTTTGTTTCAGAGTTTCTTCCTAGTTGCTGAAAATTGTATGCCAAGAATACTCTCATTATTATATATATTCATAATCGTTTTTATGTCCTTGCCATCAAGTGTAAGAAGAATCTCTAGCCAATAAATCAATGTTACTGGTTCTTACCCAGGCCTAAAAGTTTAAAAAAGACCGGCCTGTCCTCTCCTATATAAAGACAGTGATGTCAGCCCTGCGAAGCGAGTTCTGTCACAGGTAAATATGAATAAGCTACATAATTTCTCCTGATGTATGATAGTTACTTTGCACAATGACAGAACTCTTGGGATGGGGCGGCAGCCAACAGGAAAACTGTCAGGGCCTGTTCTCCAACTTTGATGTCTGTCTGCTGTGTGTGTGATTCACTTCACCAACTGGGGCCACATGTGTGCATGGAGTGCAAGCACTACATTCTCTGATTCACTACCAGGAACCGACACCGTAGGTAAGAGGCCACAGAGGAGGCGGCCAGAAAGCCTGTCTCTCCCAGCACGGGCTGCCCTTGGCAGAAAGGAAGTGCTGGGAGGCAGAGGCGGCACGGGGCCTGGCTGTGGCAATCATGGGGGGGGTGGGGGGGCAGCTCTGGGCTCCCTCATCACCAGGTGTGGACCCAGACAAGCATGAACCTGCTCTGTGCCTCTCAGGTCCTTCTTCTGTCAAATGGGTAACAGTTGTACTTGCCTCAAAGGATGGTTCTGAGAACCTCTGGAGTTCATGCTTATAAAGCTCAGAACAAAGCCTGGCATGGAAAAGACAGTAAGTGGGCCGTGTGTGTTCAATTAAACAAGTATTTTTAGAATTAAAAAATGGTTTTCTTTTAAAAGGTAAAAACAGTTACACTGTCTTCTAATTAATTTATCCAAATCCCAGGTATTTAAGGACTATCTTATATTAAAGTCACTTGTTCAGTTTTCCATTTATGTAATAGCTCCTCTTAATCTGTTAAGAGCAGATATCAACATTAGAACAGTTTAAAAAACAACCAACCATGTTTTCTCTTCAGGCCTCCATATGCTTGCTTTCCACACTGTTGGTTTTTTAAAATACCTTGAGACTTGGACAGTTTTTCTTAAAAGTAAAAATAACATCACTTATGCACTCATTGGAACATAAATATGGTGCTGAATGTTTCTCAAAATGTTTTCACAGAATCTTATGGGATTCTTACCAAAATGTTCTGAGTGATGCAAACAAGGACTGTTTGCTCCTACACTCTGAAAGTACTCTCCCATGATGGGGGAAGAAGTGGCTGATCTAGGAATTCCATGACCCAATGCTCTTCCTACTAAAACATGCAGTCATAGTTCAGCTGACTGCTATAAAACAAAGAAAGAAAACACATTTAAAAAT